CTAGTAAACTAAGTCATTTTTCATTGTTAAAATATAGTAGTAGTTTTATTTTCATTGTACTTCCATTATGTTTCTCTAGCTTAGTCAAGTCTAGTCTTGTAACTTTGGATTATTTTTTTTTAAGTACTATTAGGGGGGATCAAGCAATCAAAACTTTCTAGCAAGCAAGCAATTCTCTGTACTGGTGTCTCTCCCCCTCGACACCGCGTTGCTTTTCTGTAATAGCTTTCATTAATGCAATCAAGCTTTCTTTCATTCTGAATTCTCATTTCTGTTCTCTCAATTGCTCTTGACATTGGTTTTCCCGTACGGCACTGACAATCTCGTCTAGCGTACGGAGGGGACCTCAGTTGGCGGACAGCAACTGCACTGACATCAGTTGCCTAGCCTTACGTCGCCCTTCCAAGGAATCTCAGGAAGGCGCCGCGTAACAGTAGCAAGTTCCCATGGAAATTATTTTTTGTTTGTTCCATTGTATTCTCCTCTGGATTTTCAAACATGCACAACAAATTCTTTACAGGTTGAAGTTGAAGTTCTGAACTCAAAGAGCGTCATGTGCAATATAGATTGAATTAGGCCGATAAACCGTCCAATAAGAGCTAAACCGATACCAATCCGCCCGATATCTTGTCGGGTGGTTAGCGGATTAATACATTTAAAAGCCGATAACCGATAAGCCAAACCGTTAAGAGTACATAACCGCCCAATCCGCCCGATAAGCAGCCCTACCATAAAGTAGAATCCTCGTGAGCCGCCTTTTGATGTTCCTGTTAAAATTCCTATTATTTATTTTTTTCTCTTTTCTTTTTCGTAAAGAATCACTTTTTTTTCTTTTCTCAAATGGATTTCAAATATTCCAGTTTTAATTTGGCCACACTTGTATAGTTTTGAAAAGAATTTTTCGACGTCTGTTTAGAATTCGTAACTTCTGTTTTAAAAACTCGAGGGTTTTATATCAAAAAATTCCCCCAAAAAATATAGAAAGAATTACATGAAAATACACATGACTTCATACCATAATAAAAAATAGCCTATGTTTTTAAGTTTTACCCCACCTAGCCCACATTGTACATATTTTGGAAGCACTTGCAAATTCAAAATCTGTGTTTTTACAATGATTGTTTCTAAAAGCTTTGGAGTTAATTCTTTGTTCTCACAACTATTGTTTTCACTCTCTCTTCTTCTCACATCTTCTACATATGCTTCAAAGGGCCATGTATTTTCTGCTTCTCCTCTTGTGTCACCTACTTGCAATGAAAGAAAATTGAAGAGTAGAAGTTCACCATTGAAGACCATTCAAAGCTTTACTTTTGAAAATGAGTTTTTTTGAATTTGTTAGTTGTTTGGATTGGGTATTGTTCCAATTGATTGAAAATATCAAAAGGAGTTCAAAATTTAAATTTGAAGTGATTTGGAGTAGATTTGAGCAAGATTTGAGTTAAATTTCAGAAAAGACGCAAGGAAGAAGACGAAGTCAGTTTTTTGTATAATTATGTATAATCTTGTATAATGTTGTATATGAGTGTAGAAACACACCTTATACACTATTATACACTTTTATACACCTTTATACAAGCGTCTGTAGACGAACTTCTTCCACGATTTTCAGTTGCAATTCTTGCTCAAAACCAGTCCAAATCTCCATTAAATGACTTCAAATTTTATATACAACTTCCTTATACTATTTCTAACAAGTCTAAATAACACCCACTCCAAATTTCTCACAAAATCAAATTCGGAATTTAAACCCACATATTTAAGCTTGTTAAAAATCTAATTTTCACCACCCAAATGAATTTGGTTTATTGAATTTATATTTGAATCACAATTACTGATTCGAAAATTAATTTAAAAGCTTGCGGAATCTTTTTTAAAAATTAAAAAGTGATTTTGAGAACCTATTGGAGTTGGATGTTGAATCTTAGCCTATTATTTACGGGCTAGTTGGTTGTAAATTGAAATATGGGCTATAAAATTGAAAAGTATGGAGCCTAGTTGTTCTAATGTGAAATTTTCCCAAAAATATAATGTTAAAATATCATGGTATAGCCAGTTTTCACACTGGTCAACGAAAAATAGCCAGCGTTTATCAAGTCAATGAAAAATAGCCATTATTTTGCTGCAACAGGGACCGGTCCAGTATAATATACGGGAGTTCTGGTGCATTTGTGTACGAACTCCAGCATATTATGCTGGACCGGTATACTTTGCTAACTCCTGTAAAATTTGCGGGAGACTGGAGCACCAGTGCTCCAAACTCCAGTATATTATACTGGACAATTATACTTGCTGGAACTCCCGTAAAATTTGCGGGAGTTCCAGCATAGTTATCCTGGAACTCCCGTAAAATTTACGGGAGTTCAAGCATACTTATGCTGGAACTCCCGTAAAATTTGCGGGCGTATTTTTCCGGATTTTGAACAGTGTTTTCGCTCAGATTTAAAGTGGCTAAATTTCGATGACTTTTGAAACTTGGCTATTTTTCAACGACTAGTGGTAAATCTGGCTATTTTTGAATTTCTCCCAAATATAATGTATCTTTCTAGGACAAAAATAATTTTATTTTACTTATCTTTAACCAAAAAGAGCCTAACTACTGCCAATGTGGCGGTAGCACCACCATTGGATCTTTTAACGCCAAACTATATAAATGATCTGCGAAAAAATTCGATCTCAGAAAACTGGCGGAGAAAATGGTGAAGCTAGTGGTGGCAACGACGACGGATCCAGCATCAATGAACCCAGCGAAGGAGCTGTTAGCTATGCCAGGGTGGCAACCTGGCCCCACCTTAGATCAAGGTATCAGAAGTTACAGCAATGGAGATGTCAGGTTGTTAGAACATGACAAAGGCATTGTGGAAGAAGATGATTTGGATCAGCGTTGGGAGAACGCTACTGGTCAGCCTGTCGACGAGGTTATCTTCCTTAGTAAACACACTGCAGTCTCTAACCGCCCCGCTGTCACCATCCATCCTATTGGTATGAGTAGTATACTCTCCTTGTCTCATTTTACATTACCGATGTTTTATTTTATAAGGTGTTTAATATTAATTGTCCTTTTGTGTTGTGTTATTATATTAGTGGTAATGAAAGAAAGTACTTTAAGTGGTCTAAGGGTGAATGAAGTTGGATATAATATATTAGTGTTAATGAAAGAAAATATTTAACGCTAAGGTTTCGGTCTAGCAGTCAATGAAGTTGGAATGGACCATACAACAATAACAACATACCCAGTATAATCCCACGGGTGGGAATGGACCATAAGAGACTAAAATTCAAATTTTAGTAGAAGCAAAAAGCTAGGTGATTTCTTCTTGTGTGTCTAAGCTTTGATAACATAGTTACCTCTAATATGTGCTAGTGGGAGGTAGTAAGTACCCCGTAGGAATAGCCCAGGTGCGGCAAGCCGGTCCAAACTCCACCTTTTGAAAAATGAAAGTAGATATTAAAGTTATATAGAGTTATTTTGTTTGGAGGAAAATAATTTTCAAAGGAAATATATAAACTTGTTGGCAGTGTTGTCAAAGGCGCGCTTAAAGCACGCTTAAGCCCTGAAGCGAGGCTCAAAACATGTTGAGCGCTTCACCTCGCTTTGTAGGCGGTTTAGTGTCGCATCAAAGCTCTAAGGCATACTTTTTCTTGCCAATGAGTGTAATCCTCAAAAGGCGACATTAAACAATTGATATTTCACTTTATCGTAAAAATTTTGCAATTTCTTTGTCCATATATTTGTTATTCATACGTATAATTATTAGTCTTGGACTACATATACATGTTTTTACTTTTTCTCCAGTTGCGCCTTTTTTCATTAAAGCCCACGCTTTATTTGCACTTTGCGCTTAAAGCCCCAACGGACCTTAGAGCTTTTTTGCGCTTTTCGCCTTTGATAACACTGCTTGTTGGCAAGCCGGTGCAAACACCACCTTGGGAAACTATTTTTTTCTATAAGTACTTTGGGAAACTATTTTCTGGATCATTTTCCATGTTCGGTCAGGTATAAAAATAGGTGCTGTATGGTAATGGTACAAGGAGAAATATAGGATGTAACATAGTGTTTCTTGTGATGTTTTTCAGTATTAAAGGGGTTGACAACAACATTTTAGTGCTAGACTACAACACATTTTATGGAGCAAGAGTTGAAGAAATATGTAAAAGAAAAGGACTTATGCATTCTATTATGGAAGCAATATTATAGGACTATAACTAAATGAAGTTTAAGTTTAATACTAATTTGACTATATAATAAGACCTCGGATTTTCATTGTTTATAGCAGTAATGTTTGTACATATTTTATTAGTGATAGTGGAAGAAAGAATTAGAATAATGATTGAAAAGTTACTTTGACAGATATAACACCACATCAAAGTTTGAACTTAAATTTCAAAACAAATTTGAGTTTTTAAAAATATTGTTTAGAGGCGAAAGGTGTTTCCGGTAGCATAAATTAGGGTGGTTAAGGATATGTATGATGGAGCTAAGACCCGGGCGAAGACAGTGGGAGGAGACTCGGACCATTTTCCGGTTGGGATGGGGTCCACCAAGGATCCGCTCTCAGCCCGTTCTTGTTTGCATTGGCGATGGACGCACTGACACAACATATTCAAGGGGAGGTTCCATGGTGTATGTTATTCGCTGATCATATAGTACTGATTGATGAGACGCGAGACGGTGTTAACGAAAAGTTGAAGGTTTGGAGACAGACCCTAGAGTCTAAATGTTTCAGGTTTAGCAGGACTAAGATAAAATAGTTAGAGTGCAAGTTCAGCAACGTGACGGGGGAAGCGGACGTGGACATGAGGCTTGACTCACAAGCCATCCCAAGAGAGAAAGTTTCAAGTATCTTGGGTCTGTTATTCAAGGGAATTGGGAGATTGGCGAGGATGTCACACACCGTATAGGGGCGAGGTGGATGAAATGGAGGTTAGCATCCGGCATCTTGTGTGACAAGAATGTGGCACCAAAACTAAAAGGTAAGTTCTATAAAGCAGTGGTTAGACCGACTATACTGTAGGGGCTGAGTGCTGGTCATTCAAGAACTCCCATGTCCAAAAGATGAACGTAGCTGAAATGAGGATGTTGAAATGGATGTGCGGACACACTAGGTTGGATAAGGTTAGAAATGAGGATATTCAGGAGAAGGTGGGCGCGCCCCCATGCAGGTCAAGATGAGAGAAGTGAGGTTTAGATGGTTCGGACATGTGAAAAAGAGAAGCCTAGATGCCCCGGTTAGGAGGTGCAAACGATTGACTTTAGCGGGTACGAGAAGAGGTAGAGGGCGGCCTAAACAGTATTGGAGAGAGGTGATCAGGCAAGCCATGGCGCGACTTCAGCTCACCGAGGACATGGCCATTGATAGGAGGGTGTGGAGGTCAAGTATTAGGGTAGAAGGGTAGCAGGTAGTTGGACGTTTTTTTGACCCTTACTCGGTTGTTTAGGGCTAGTCTGGTAGTATCTTGTCGTTGTTCCTAGATTGTTAGTATTACGGCTACTTCTTACTATCTTCTGCTTCAGTTTTCTAGTATCCTGTCGTGGTTACTGCTTATTGCTATTGCTAGTACTATTGCTCTCCTTCATCTATTTTTTCTTCCAGTTCTTACTTCGTTGCTATCATTTTTCTGGCTACTGTTATTGATATTTAATTGTTTTTATTCATCTTCCCGAGCCGCGGGTCTTTCGTAAACAACCTCTCTACCTCCTTAGGATAAGGGTAAGGTCTGGCTCCCCAGACCCCACTTGTGGGATTACACTGGGTTTGTTGTTGTTGTAAAAAAATTGTGATAAAGTATATAGAATAATATTATTAGTTGATGATGTCAATCATTTTGAACATCCCTAAATGGAAAAGAGTTTCATATAAGTTGTTGTAGTCGGGGTATATTTAAATGAATTTGAATTTTATTGTAAAATCATTGTTTGGGATGATTGTCAAACAGTACGAAGCGTCTTAACATGAAAGAGTGTTTATAAATGGGGAGAGAGAATGGTATATTTGATGTATGGAAGTTAGATGCTCGCAAACACCTTATGAGGTCCTAATTATGTTTAATGTTGGTTAGGGGTGCCACATTTGAAAGAGGGGGATGTTCCACCACAAGGAGGGAGGCCAGGGTGGGCGGCACCACCAAATCCAAGGATGGGGCCATGGATGACTCTTTTGAATAAAATTGCTGAGTCTCATAATCTCGTTCCCGAATTTGAAGTATGGCTCTTTTCTATATCAGCTCTATGATCAATCTTTTGTGGCTTGTAAAAAAAAACTCATTCTTTTTGTAGATAATCCTGGCATTTCTCTATAAATATCTTCTTTATTTTTGTTTCCCTCTGCTTGATATGTAATATGGAGTGTAATACTATTTTTTCCTGGCTGGTATAGATTACTTTTGAAGCTACTCATCATGGACCCGTGACAACTAAACCAACAATGTTCGTCGAGATAGGTAAGCTTAATGAAGTCCTCTTTAAATTTGGAGTTCGCACAATAAGAAATAATCCAGTGTGCTTTATTTATGTCTTATGCATCTATGTTATATAGCACTTAGCAGGTAGATTCAAAGATCTATGTTTTCCAATAGATGCACATAATTCTATGTTTGACAGAATAAATAAGCCATAAATGGATTAGAAGGGAGATCTAGTTGTTTACTGCACCAAGTGCAGCAGAGTTACATTTGATTCAAGTAAAATCCAAAACTCGGAAGAAGAAAACGGTACCTGTACTGATTACGCATGAGCATTATTTTTCTCTTTCCCTTTTTCAATTTTTAATATAAAAGAAGATCTTACTTTTAAAATGGAGAGGGAGAAGTACAAGATCAAGGACAAGAAGTTCTTATAGATAAAGAATTGCAAGGATGAGGGAACAAGGTAAATATTCCTACATTTTACGCAAGCAGAGGTGTCCAATTGGGCTGTAAGTCAGTTATAAGAGATAAGTAAGCTGTTGTCTTTATTCTCTTTTAGCTATCTTTTGTTTTTAGTGTAGATGTTCTTTTTTATTTTTTCTGGAGCATTCTTTGGTAACTAACTGAATAATAACCGAAATGTCCAACACTCAATTTAATAGTTGAAGGATATAGGTCCACGAGACTTTTACTTAGCCAGGCATTGGATTGATTCATTTTTATGTGTGTCTCCTCTTTTCTTGTTTCTAAGAGGGTAACCTCTTTATACACATACGCTGACATAGATTAACTCATTTTTTGATTTCTCTCTATTTACTTTACCCTATTTCTTCATTAGGTGGTTCTTATTGTTTCATTTTTCTTTTTCTTTTTCCTCTTTATTTTTTGGGTGTGTGCGTCTTGGGGGGGGGGGAGGGGGGGAGGGGGGGGGAGTGCGAGATGCCATTAATTTTGTGCACAACTGGATGCTGAGTCTATATAGTTATTTTGTCCTGTCCTTATAAGGGCAACCCGCTATGCGCGGGTCCAGAGAAGGGCCCGGTGCATCGCTTACGTGATCAGCTATGTGTTTTGTGAAACTGATTACTTTCTTGAGCTAGGTAGCACTGAGGAGTACTGGAAGAGGCAGGATGCTGCTCGTGTTGTTGCTCTAGTAAGTTTTACTTTGTTGTTTGCTGCTTTATTGGTCAGGAACGTTGATACTCGAAAGTCTTATATTTGTAACTTTAGTTAGTCTGCTAAGGACTTCCTTTTATTTATTTAGTTCTCCTACATTACCCATCTGATCTATCCAAAAACAGAACTATTTACGTGTTTTGATGTTCTCTAACAAATATATAGTGTAATTGCAGTTAGTCTGGGAAGGACTTGGACTTGGAGGAGGTCCTCCAGTTGGAAACTGGAGCAGGTATCGTTTACATCTGCAAGTTGTTCCCCTATATCCCTCAAATATCCTAGGTTCTTCTTTTCTCATTTTCTTTTGCCTGAGCATACTCTTCTATCTGAAGAAGTAAGCTGCTAGAATAATTTTGTGAATCGACCAGGTCCTAACCCATACCCCACCTCCCGAACCAAGAAAAGAAACTGAGTAAAGCAATAGTAAAGTTTAGGGGACACATTTATGTTGCAAACCGGCGTTCTTCCTTAAGTTTCTTTTACTATTGTTAGCATTGGTTTTACAAGCAGAGCTCTTTATTTTATTTCATAGTTTGTGCAATATTGTTCTTTCCTTACAACTTATAGCCTTCTGTTCCCCGTCAACATGCTCCCAAAGCTGCCAGGCTGCTCTCATATCCCTTGAACAATATTTCCAATTTTTAACCAACATTCTTATTTCTTTTCAGTTATTATAAGTTGTCTGCAAACAGATTCTGTTGCGGAACTGCAGCCTTGCAAAATATGTAACAACTAACAATCAACACCGTCTGCGACAACACCCACTAGCAGTCCCATTTATGTTTCTTTGCTGGAATTTAGAGCCTCATCTTCAGAGTGTTTGTGTACATATTTGCTCCCGAATCTCC